CCCCCCCCCCGCCTCACCCATGGGGTGCTCTCATGCAGGAAATACACCCTGACTAAACACGTCTCTCCTGAAATGTGAAGTGTAACTCAGCCCGAGGACTGACAGAAGTTTTATCCAATAACTAAAGATTCAGCAACAGAAGCGTTAGGGAGCACCCCCTCCCCCTCTACTTCCATAATGAAGTCCCCGATATACCGTACAGGAGTGGCTGGGGCGTTGTGACGGGACGGACGGCTATACAGTGTAACCAGGAAAGTCTCCTAACATGTTCCGAGTCCCCCTGGAAGGTCCGGCCTCAGAGTCCTCCCTCCTCCGTGTTCACTACGACCCTCATTCTCCCTCACTTACCGGTATTAGCCGCGGCGGCCGTTGCCAGAAGACACACAAGAACGGACACATAGTAAACACGGTCCATCTTCCTCACCGATCCTCTCCCTGACCCAGCACGTGATACCCCCACAGCCCCGCCTATTGGTGACGTCGACTATTATTCCCTTCTCTGCAGCCTTTGTCACCGCCCTCAGGGGCGGGGTTTATTAGGCAGCGAGGTCTTGTTGTAGGGCGTGGCTGTGAGAGATGTGTGAGCGCTCCATGACACGGACATGTGACTGGAGCTGGTGGCCGGGGCGAGAGTTCACCTAGGTTGTCACATGCAGTGACGTAACAACCGGGGGGCGTTCGCCCCGGGCGCATAGATGGCGGGGGGCGCCTGCCGCGAATGGAGTGTTTATTAAAAGGTCATGATGAGGGGAATATACTAGAAATAAGAGTGCAAGAAAGAAGCTGGTTGGTTATTATGGGCAACAGTTCCAGTCATATCAAATTCCCTCATTGTCTTTTTACTGGACAACGGAGCAATGGTAGAAGATGGCCTGGTCTGATGAATCATGTTTTCTATTACATCATCTGGATGGCCGGTGCATGTGTGTCGCTTACCTGGGGGAAGGTTTGACAGCAGGATGCACTATGAGAAGAAGGCAAGCCGTTGGGGGCGGTGGGATGCTTTGGGCAATGTTCTGCTGGGAAACATTGGGTCGTTCATATGGATGTTACTTTGACACATACCACCTACCTAAACATTGTTGCTGACCAAGTATACCCCTTCAAGGAAACAATATTCTCCGATGGCAGTGGCCTCTTTCAGCAGAATATTGTGCCCTGCCACACTAAAAGAATGGTTTGATGAACACAACAACAACCCAGATAGCAAGGATAACTTACCACAAACTTGTGGCAGGGTGAAATTGTAATTCTTGTTAACTTGCTGCACACATTCCTGGCAAGTTGTAGACTTGCAGCACACGTTCTAGTTGACACTTTTTGAATTTGTAGCAAATTTGCTTGGCAAGTCTACAGCAAGAGTCCTGCAAGCTCGCTGGTCTGGAGACTTGCAATGCAGACTTGCTGTAATTGTGCAACAAAATTGTGAAGCTTGGCAAGTCTGCAATAGTTTAGCAAGTCATATTTAAACTTGCAGCTCAATTGCTTGCTATCTGGGAAGTTCAAGGTGTTGACTTGGCCTCCAAATTCTCCAGATCTCAATCCAATTGAGCATCTGTGGGATGTGCTGGAAAAGCAAGTCTGATTCATGGAGGCCCACCCTCACAGCTTACAGGACTTCAAGGATCTGCTACTGAAGGCTTCGTGCCAGATACCACAGCATACCTTCAGAGGTCTAGTGGAGTCAATGTCTCCATGGGTCAGGGCTATTTTGAAGGCAAAAGGGGGACCTACTCAATATTAGGTGGTTGGTCATAATGTTTCGGTTGATCGGTGTATATATATGTATATATATTTTTATTTTTTTTGTATAGCCCTTCTCTCATTCTCAGTGGTCCATCATTTTTTTTACACCACAACACCACTTCCTTTAACATAAAATACACTTTTCCAAGCACTTCCGCATGAACCTCTCTAACATGCATGATCCATTCAAATGCAACTAAAGGCAAACTTTTTTTCTTCTAGTTTGGATAGAGTGGAGAGGGATTAGAACATCTGTTTGTATTGCTGTATGTGCCCCCCCCCCCCCCCGTAAGGATGCACCCTCTCTGTTTGTCCTGGTGATTGTTATCACTGAAAATGAAAGAAAATCCCACATTTTAAGATTTCATCAGAACAGGAGTAGATGGGAAATCTTCAAATGGGAACAATAGGTCTGGTGACCCTGCCAACCACCAGGGATTTCCATCTATTTGGAGGGATTTCCTCTCACTTGTTGGGCTATTGCACAGGAAATTTCCCAAAAGGGCACAAATGGCAAAAAGAAACTGACGGGAATATAACCCTTACTCTCTCCAAAACTAAACAAAAAGTTTTTGCTTCAGTATGGGAGGAAGTGACCCCAGAGGAACAAATCCAGAAAACACACATATGATACAAATGTTATAAATTGAGTTGTAGTTCAGTGAGTAAAATAAGTATTTGATCCCCTTCCAACCAACAATAGTTCTGGCTCCCACAGACTGGCTATGTGGTACACAGAGGAGTCCTGTCAATTTAAGAAGGTGTTGCTAACGACAACTCATTATGTATATAAAAGACACCTGTCCACAGAATCTCTTTCTTCCATGCAAACCTCACCACCATGGGCAGGACCAAAAAGCTGTCAAAGGATGGTAGGGACAAGATTGTAGACCCGCACAGTGTTGCAGTGATTATTCGCAAATGGAAGGAATACAAAATAACCATCAATCGCCCTCGGTCTGGAGCTCCATGAAAGGTTTTGCCTCATGGGGTAAGGATGATCACGAGAAAAGTGAGGAATCGGCCCAGAACTACACGGGAGGAGCTTGTGAATGATCTCAAGGCATTTGTGACCACAGTCACCAAACAAACACATTAAGATCCTACAGCGCCCGCAAGGTCCCCCTACTCAAGAAGGTACATGTACAGGCCCGGTTTGAAGTTTGCCAATGAACATCTAAATGATTCAGAGAAGGGTTGGGAGAAAGTGCTGCAGTCAGGTGAAACCAAAATTGAGCTCTTTGGCATTAACTCGACTTGCCGTGTTTGGAGGAAGAAAAATGCTGACTATGACCCTAAGAACACCATCCCTACAGTCAAGCACGAAGGTGGAAACATTATGCTTTGAGGCTGTTTCTCTGCTAAAGGTACAGGCCGACTTTGCCGCATTGAGGGGCCAATTGACAGGGCCATGTATTGTAAAATCTTGGATGAGAACCTCCTTCCCTCAGCCGGAACACTGAAGATGGGTCGTGGATGGGTCTTACAGCATGACAATGACCCAAAACATACCGCCAAGGCAACAAAGCAGTGGCTCAAGAGAAAGCACATTAAGTTCATGGAGTGGCCTAGCCAGTCTCCAGACCTTAATCCTATAGAACATTTATGGAGAGAGCTGAAACTTTGATTTGCCAAGTGACAGCCAAGAAACCTTAATATTTAGAGAAGATCTGTAAAGAAGAGTGGACCAAAATCCCTCCTGGGATGTGTGCAAATCTGGTAACCAACTACAAGAAACGTCTTACCTCTGTGCTTGCCAACAAGAGTTTCTCCACCAGGTACTGAGTCATGTTTTGCTTGGGGATCAAATACTTATTTTACTCACTGAACTGCAACTCAATTTCTAACATTTGTATCATGTGTTTTTTCTGGGTTTGTGGTTGATATTCTGTCTATGCAAGGTAATTGAAGGATGTTATGTATGTTAACTTCATGGTATGCATGTGGATTTAACCGACAGTCCTGACATACTGTATGAGCATCCCAGCCATGACATCCATGTACATATGGTCATAGACAAGGCATGGCCATCATCTGAGGAACTGGCACTAAAGGGCTCTCGGTAGGATCTTACCTTCATGAGTATGTTCATATAATAGTTTGCAAACAAATGTCTTCAGGTGATAACACCTACATATCCAACCACCAAGCTTTGGGCTGGCTCTGGATGGGTAGATTTTTTTGTGAGAACAGGTAGTGAAATATCTGCCTGTGTTTAAACTCAAACTGTTGGGACTGACCATATAATGCTTTTGTGAAGTTACAAAACATGCGCTGTTGATGGGACTTGAAGATAGGTTCAGAAAGCACAGAACAAATTCATTTACTCGAAATAATGTAAGAAACATAAAATCTTCAATTTATTAAGAAACATAATAAAAGAGTTAACACGTATTTTAAAAGTGGTAATAAAATATATAAAAAAATCAACATACAAAGATTGGATATGGGTGCATTTATTTATTTAAACTCTTCTGCCCTCAAAACTCTTTACACCTAAAAAGTTCATATTGCTAAAAAAAAAGATAATCATTGCTTTACATGTTTGGTACATGATGGATGTTTGTAGACACTTCCCGTCTCCTGTTTGTTTTCTTTGCATTTCATCTCTCCCAATTCTCAACTTTCCGGATTCTGTTTTCATGTGGTTCCTTCCCTTACAGGATCCCTTGGAGCCCCCTTTACTTGCACACTCCCGGCTGGCACTTACATGCATCTGCAGAAAGAGATAGCCAGGCCGCAAGCTACTCCCCTGCTCCCTCCATCTCAGGATGCGGGCTTCTTTACTCAGAAGTTCAGGAAAGCTGCACTGTGTGACCTGGAGTCAGCTGCGGTGGTTCCAACCAAGCACCTTAAACTTCATCTGTGCCCAGACTAGCACCTGGTGTGTGTGTACATTAGAAGTCTCTCAGGCTGCCAAGATCTGCTCTCCATAGAAAGAAGCTGAGGTTTCAGTGCATCTGCTGTGAACTTTGAAGATCAATTTCTTTTACAATACGTAAAATACATATATGTAAATATATTAATGTGCATAGTCTGGGCACAGGTTCACTTTAAGGTCTGCATAGACACATAGATAGTGATGCAGGCATAACCTAACAATGCCCAGCCGGAGAGAGTTGGGGAAGGCGTGTTGCCAATATCATTGGTATAGTGTTCGGGCAAAATTTTATAGCCTGCCTGATCACTATTAGTGATGAGCCGAACACCCCCGTGTTCGGTTCATATTCGAACGGCCGAAAAGTTCAAATGCGAACTCAAACTCAATGCAAGTGAATGGGGGTCGAACGTTTGAAAATGAATGTCCCCTTTAAGAGGGCTTATACAGGCAGTCCCGGGGTTACGGACGTCTGACTTACGGACGATCCATACTTACAAACCGGGTCCACAGTTCTCCTATATGTACCGGCAGCTCCGGCCGCTGCTCCTCTGCCCCGCCCCCCTGCTTCCTCTTCATTGCAGGCTGGGAGCCATACCCAGCCTGCTATTGGATATTGTAAAATGCAATAGCAAGCTGGCTATTGCACCCGCCCACTTCCTGCTGTCAATCAGCATGGGGGGACCTTCTCCTTCAGGCCCCTCCTCTGCTGAGCCCTGATTGGGCAAAGTCTTGCACCTGGCCTGTGGTCAGGTGCAAGACTTTAACAAATCAGAGCTTCAGTGGGCATTTTGCATTATGGAATGTCCGCGGTCGAACAAACTGCGAACATCCCAAGTTCAGCGTTCGGCAAGCGCTGGAACTGCCGATGTTCCATTCGAACTCATGTTCGAATCGAACACTCGGCTCATCCCTAATTACTATTTCCTCCAAGAATACTCAGCCAGCAATGTCTTTGCCACCTCAGAGACATAATATTGTCACAAGATCTAGCAGAAATAGCTAAACTGTACAACAGTCATCTCCTATCTATGGGTATCTGTAAACCTCATTACAGACCTTTCAATGTCAACATCAGATAAACAAATGTATGCATAATTTAGATATATAGTATATGTGTGTTTTGCCTACATAGTCAGGCTCGTGATCTGACGTTTCTCTACTGTAATAAGAGCAACACAGATTGGTTATATTATATTGGACAATAAAGAAGTAGCTGCAGACTGATGAGATCTTCCATTTGCTCTCTCCTTTTATCAGCAGGTTCCTTTAACATCACATACGCATGAGGCACACCTGCTGGGCTCCTAGTGGGTCCCTTCCCTCTCCCAGTCTGTGTTCTAAAGTACAGGGAATTACAAGAGGCTGATACCAAACCAATGTCAACTGCTTACAATAGTTGCATTTAAAAATACAATTCCTGATTTTTTTTTAAACAGATGCATAACTGCATTCATTGTTGTTATGTTATATGCTGCTGGAGTTATAGTTTAGCTTCCATCTGTAATTAACCTATGCACCACATAATCACTAATGATAAATGTATTTAATGCATCAATAGGGAATATCAAGTAATGCTGGGCAGCTAAAAGCAACCCTGTGCTCTGAATGGGCAAAGCAACAGATTCACTTTAAAGCCTGATCCCCCAGCCAACACATACTCGCCTATCCTTTGCTCCACTGCTATTTTGTTCACCTGTCAGAAGTGAAGAAAATACCCAGAGGGGAATTTATCAAAAGTGGAGCAGACAAAATCTGGAGCAGATTTGCATGGCAACCAGTCAGCTTCTCTCTTTCATTTTAACTGAACAAACTGAAGAAAGAAGCTGATTAGTTGGTGTGGCCAACTGCTCCAGATTCAGAGTCTGCTCCAGTTTTGATAAATCCACGCCCCTAGTATATTCAAGTATGGAGGAACATGTGATTCACTGCCTTTCCTTTCATGTGACAGTGCTGGAGTATGGTGACTGGCCTATCACTGCCACAAGGGAGCTGGGAAACCAGCAACCTTGTGTAAACCTTGGCTACATCTTACATAGGGCTGTCTTTTTTTTAACTCCTGTCACCACTGTGCACATAGTAGGAACACCACATCATGTAAATGAAGGCAATGGACACTTACTGTAGTTCTCTTAGTCCATCCGGTAAGCGACTCTGCTCTTTTTTGCTACCTTCAAAAGTTTTAGGAGTGTTAGGAGCTTGCTCTGCCCAAAGACAGCGTTGCTGGGGGCTGCATAGAAAGCCCTGTGTGATCTAAAATTACAGAGGCTGTCTTCATGAGCATGTCTGCACACATCCAGTAACAGCAGTGGCTGGATTACAATGCTGGGGGAGCTACCATGCATGCGCATTCAGCAAACACCGCACTGCACATGCATGTACAGGATTAAAACAGAGCGTTAAAAGAATGAGAGTTCTGCTGCTATTGCAACCAAGATGGCAGCGACTCGGGACGGACAGATTTGGAAGACATGCTTTGGAAAGGCAGTTCCACAGAAAGATGTAATCATACACAAAACACACTGCAACATGTCGCTGCATTTTAACTGCGTAGGACAGCTTCTCTTAAAGATTTAGCACCAATACATAGATTCCTAGACTCGTGCAACTCCGATTTCCTCACAAGTGTAAAGCAAAAGCCTCCAGGAGCTTACATATTTTTGGGCTTAGTTCACACAGGCTAGTCTGAAGAGCAATAATTAAAATGTCATCTACAAAGATTCCACCTTTCTAGACGCACTTAAAGCACCATTCAGTTCCAGCCTGGCACTGCAAGACACAGAGGTCTATCTGTTAATGAAACAAGCTGTCATCAGACTACAACAGGCGTTTGCCAAGCTTCAGTACTGATTAAAGCTTGTTGAAAGTGATTGCCAGCATTTCCTTTAAAATCTTTGTTCAACTTTGCCAGACTATAGTGTTGGAACAGGAAGGAAGGTAAGTATTTAACCAGGTGGGCCTCACTCAGTGGTGGTAATCCTTTAGGGGTTCAGGAAAACCGATTAAAGCTTCCTGAAAGCTTTGTACATGCTTGTTGAACACATTGCACTTTAGACAGGTAAATGTAAAGCTGGCTATCCTTATCCTATTTGTCTTGTTTAGCCCCACGGACTGAACGAGAAAAATTGCTCAATTCTTTGTTTAGCGTGGATGGTGGAATAGTATTCTAACAGCAGCGCATGTATCACTTCCAGAATACCCAAACAGATGATTGGCTGCAGCCACTGGTAGGCTGAAAACTGTCCTTCGACAAAAGTCAATTAAAAAATGTGCTTTTCTCAAACAGAGAGATGCCAATGGGGCCACACACTTCTCCAAGGTTTGAGCAGTGTATGGCAAGCTTAAGCAGATATTAAAAAAAGTGAAACTGCCATTAAGAAGCAACCAGGCCCTCTATGCCTAGGACTTACAACTTCTTTCTTCTAGTTTCTAATTACAAAGCATAACTACTATTACAAGTATTATCTGAATTTCTGAAAGGAACTTATGGCAATAATTTAAAATGTATAATATTGAATAATACTCCATTATTTCAGAGCATTTACTAAATATTATCCCAATGGCTTATGATTAAGTGTTGCTAGGTAATATAAGAACGTGTAAATATATCTGACCCAGTTGATTTAATTCAAATCTTGCTTCCAGATGGCTTTAAAGTTATGGAGACTCAGCAGTAAACATTATGCCTCTGATGTACGTACAGTCATTTCACCTAACTGCATCTGTTCCATCGCTTCAGAAAAAATCTATATAATAACAAAGCTTTTCTGCCTTGATTGTCTCTGGTGCGGGCCAAAAGCGTACACAATTTAGGGAGAGGCTTGTAGTCTTCTAGAGCTGTGCAGACATGGTTTTCATAGAAGCAAGAAGATATTAATATTGCACTTGAATAACAGACTTCAGTGGTAATCGTCCTTGTTTTTTCATGTTATGAAGATTTCCCTTTTAGGATTTTCGTGCCCTCCAAGCCAAAGTTGAGATAAGCATCTTTTTACATTCATCAATGTTATAAACCTTTATCATAAGTGTCAATGAAGATAGCGGTGACTAGTTTACTCTCCTGTTCCTGCTATTGACTCTTCAATCATTCTTCACCATGAAATTGTGGATTTTGCACTGTGGTGGTTGCAGTGCTAAATATCGGGTTGATGTTCTAAATAACAATACAAACATTAGATAGTTTAAATGTGGCTTCACGTTAAAATATGATTTCTCAAAATTTCTATTATAACTGGGGTATTCATTCATGACCAGACAATAGTTTCCAACTTGTTCTGATCCTTTCTTTATCTTACCCTTAGGCCCCGTTCACACTGAGCGATTTCTCGCGCTGTAATTCCCGTGATATCACGGCTATTTACCGCGCGATTTTGCTCTCCAATGCTTCTCAATGGGGCTCTGTCAGTCGCTGTCGCGGGTCGTGCGTCGCTACAGCAGGACCCTTTTTGGAGCGGATTTTGCCGTGATTCTAGCTTGCTCAATGCAAGCATTTGCGTGATATCGCGCAAAATGCAAATTGCTCAATGTGAATGGGGCCTTATTTGTACCCGGGTAAAGCAACTGTAATGATCTAATTTTCCTTATTTTGACAAGAAGTGAGCAGTTACTAATCTGCTTTATTCTTAAAATAAACATAAAACAGCAAAATGGAAAATATATACAGTTAACTAATAACTATCTACATTTGCTTCATTCCTTTTTATAAACTACAAATATATTAAATTGGGGTTTGAAGAATACACAGAACCATTCACGTTTGTCTTTCCCCCAAAAGCTGTGTTTCTATAAATGTCAGGGTTTCTTACCCTTCCTTGTGCAGTTGCTTGCAGCATGGCTGTAATGTTCCTGACACTGCTTTTCTTCTTTGGCACCCTCATATGTCCAAACCTTCTAACATCATCACTCTGGTAAACTGATAAGACTCCTGGCAAATTCCTGTCTCACAGTGATGATGCAGGCACCACTTGACTATTTCACCTTGTCGATTCAGTCTCCGCCCTTTCATTTGTTCTGATCTACCAAGTGCTTTCCTGTTCTCCATGTACGCCCCTGGCTCTGGCTGACTGATCTCCTGGTTTCTGACTCCAGCTATTGTCTCTGTTCATCCTGCCTTCTGTGCTGCCTGACCTGGCTTGACTGATTACCCTTTATGGCATCTGACCCCTGGCCTGGCACTGACGATGTCCTGGAATTTGTCTATTTTTTTTGCCATTTATGTTTATTGTTGTTTTCAATAAACTCCTTTTATTTTTAAACCTGCACTCCAAGTTTCAGTCTGCTTTCTTGGTTCCCCAACAATAAATCCTAGTTAGTCCTACACATGAACATGAATTAGGGCCAATTTGGTCAAAACCAGTTAAAGTGACGTTAAACTCAGGAGTTAAATCTTAAAAATGCATTTAAGTGCTTTAACTATTAACATAAAGAGTAGCTTATTCGTGTATCAATGAGCTGTGGATCCTCAAATAATCTCTGAATTCATGCTGACACTGTTTTTCCTTCTGGAGGGTGGCTACTTTTGTTCCCCATGGTCCCTGTGTGTGTTGTAAAGTAGCCACAACACCAAGCTCCCTCCCCGATGGACTACAATATCATATTTAGTTTACTAATTTGTATTGAGATTGTAGACTTTAAAGTTCCTTTTCCTTTTTGTTAAGAATATGTAAATGGTTAAATGTCCATAAATTGAACACAGGCGCACTTAAATAAAGAAAGTGGAAGGGATTTAGGCTAATAAAAATATTCTAAGAGTATTAAAACTAGACATGTGCGATTTGTTTCGAATCGAAATTCGGACACATTTTTGGAGATTCGGATGCATCTGAATTCCGAATTACAGCTAAAACGAATACAAACGAATCGAAATTCGGACGAAATTTCGGAGATTCGGATGCATCCGAATTACAGCTAAAACAAATGCAAAGGAATCCGAATTCCCGATTTCCCGAAATTTCATTTATTGGACGAAATTTCGTTAGCAGCAAAGTGACATTAGAATTTTTTTTTTACAGTCTGCAGAAGATGATAAAACGTATGCAGAAGATGAAATTCGTTAGCGGTAGTCCGGTCGAAATTTTGTTTATTGGACAAAATTTCGTTAGCAGCAAAGCGACATTAGAATTTTTTTTTTACAGTCTGCAGAAGATGAAAAAAAAAAGCGTGAGGTTCCCCCCCAATTCATACCAGACCCTTCAGGTCTGGAAGCAATGTTAGGAGGGACCCTCCCCCAAGTTAAAACAAAAAAAAGTGCGTGGGGTTCCCCCCAAAATCCTACCAGACCCTTTAGGTCTGGTAGGAATTTTAAGGGGGAACCCCAGCCCCAAAAAATGGGGAAAAAAGAACGTGGGGTCCCCCCTAACAGTCCTACCAGATCCTTCATCCGAGCACTGGCCCAGCAGGGCAGGAAAGGAGGGGACAATCGAGCGCCCCCTCCCTGTGACTTACCAGGCCACGTGCCCTCGGCATTGGGAGGGTGTTCCCGTGCCGATGGGGACAAGGGCCTCTTCCTCACAACCCTGACCCGGTGGTTGTAGGGGTCTGCGGGCAAGGGGACTTATTTGCATCGGGGTACCCCTTTAAATAAGCGGGCACCCAGATGACACCCTCCCCCCTTGTGAATGACTAAGGGGTACTTGTACCCCTACCCATTCACTAAAGGGTTAAATCAAATAGTTAGTAAAAAGTCCAGACTTTTAGATAAAAGTCTGGACTCAATTGCGGACCCGAATCCGAAAAACTAAATATGCAAAATCCGAAACTAAACTAAACAAATTTTTTGCTGGTGCACATGTCTAATTAAAACCATTTAACCCCTACGTGACTGACGACGTACAGTGTACGTCGCCAACAGGCATTTATAACAACTTACCTTGTTCCATTTGGCCTTTTGTTTCTCCTTCTCAAATCTTTCGTACTCCTTTCTGTCTGTTATGTATGTTATACATTTCCAGATAAGTAGACAGATCACACCAATAAGAAGCACACCTCCAAAGGTGCCTCCCACTATGGCATATACGTTGGGGGCTTCAGGACACTCTGTGGAGGAAATTAACGTTTAAAACACAGTCTCATGCAGGAAGTTGTATTAAATGCTGAATTGCAGGCAAACAGTTATATACACAGATAAAAATGTGAGCTGTTTCAAAGCTAAGGATTTGTATTTTGGTCCTCCAGTTCTGAGAGTTATGCAGAGCTGCAAAACAGCAAAGCCAGGCTGGGGACCTTAATTTTCTCTACTGCAGCTTAGCAATACAGATAAGTCACCTTCTCGTTCCCAACATGTGATTGGACAGCTAAGGTGTAGAGATGAGCCCCGGCTGGGTGCAAACACAGTTCGCCTGAGTTTACCAAGCCCGTTCTAATCAGTTGTGGAGAGGTGCATTCCCTGCCCCACAGCTATATGTCCAAAAGGGGTGGGAAATGCACCTGCCACCAATGAATGGGCTGGGAGGGGGTGGCAGTCACAATTTTGCGTGGGCTTTGGTGAACTCAGGCAAACTGGGTTCACAGCAAGCTCATCTCTACTAAGGAGCAGCAACAGGCTAAAAATATCTGTTTTTTCTTCCTATCAGCACATGTCATTGGCAGCAAATGTGAATTAAGGACAACTGAATGGTCCCAAATACTGCCCCTCCCTCTTGCAGTCTAACTGCTGCTGTACTGGGGGTTACAGGTGGAAACCAAGTGAAACTGAGATATTTAGAATATATAAATAGTTGCATTATTAATATTTTTTAACAATTACATAACAACACTTGGTGTACATATCTATGGTGTCCATTTCTTTCTACATTATTGTGACGGTGGCCATCCGTCAACTACTGAGCACCCATGCTACTTTTATGGACAAGCGGTCAGGAGTGCAATGGGTACATGGATAGTAATGAGATTTGGGCACCCTAAAACTATTTAGAAAACCCAGCCGTCCCCTCACTTTTATGAAATTCACCACTTCCAGACATGATAGGCCATACTACCGATTGAACAAATTTGTTTTTTAGAGAGTTTTCAAAAGTTCAATTCCCCCGTAAATGCCAGAGCAGCAGAACTCTGTCTAACAAGCCTGTGTTATGGCTGTTTTACGGTTTTATGGTCAACCTCATAATTAGTTATCAATTGACCGATCCCCAAGTAAGCAGATTCCACCTAGATAGCCTGGACGCAGATGACCCGTGATAAGCCCCGTTAACAAAACTAGTTTCGAAATTTCCATGAAACTCTGGTCGCATACATACCATCCACCCCTGTCATATGAGGTACAGATGGCCAAAGACACACCTTACCCCTTCTAAGGGTGCCATACAGCACAAGTCTGTCAAATTTGGTATGTATAAAAAGCTAATTTCATAACGTACAATAATTTATGGTTTATCAGATGGCATGTCAGTGAATAAAAATCTGGCTGTATTTAGGAAACTGACATTATGGGAGGACCAGGTGAAAAATCATAAAGTGCTTCAGCCTTCCTATTTCACACCCCTGGGCCTTTCTGACTGGGTGGGAGCTGGCTCATTGACACCCTCTACAAGGCCCACAAAACGTTGCTGCAGACGGCAGCTGGAGCTCTCCTTTACCATCAAGACAAAAACATCTGCCAAGAGACTGGCTTCTAGAGAGCTATTTTTTCTCAATTGAATAGACTCTGCTGAAACCCATAGAACCCAGGACTTGGGCTAAGTAACTTCATCCTTTTTTCCCTTTTGTTTTGCTGTTGTATTATTTGTCTCTTTTCTGTGACATCTGTTGTGTATATTTAGTAGTGCAGTGCAGTGTATATTTAGTAGTGCAGTGCAGACAAGAGAGTATGGAGCCGGCCTCCCGGCCAATCAGAAAGCAGGGCGTCTAGTCATTACACGGCGCCCGGCTTCCTGATTGGCTGGCCAGACGGCTCCGGCTGGGTACCGGACGAAGGTGGCGTTCTCGCTGGAGAGGCCCCGGGGGTGACAGGCTGCACATACTAAGGTAAGAGGGGACTTTCTTGTTAAATCGGGAAGCCGGGTGGTGACTCTTTACACGCTGCCTGGCTTCCCGGCTAATCAGGAAGCCAGGTGGCGAGTCATTACACGCCACCTGGCTTCCTGAATGGGACTTCCGTTACTCGGTAATTGTATCGGCGAGTACCGAAAAAAAATTAGCGGTACTCGTACTCGGTACCAAAATACCGGTATCGGTGCATCCCTAAAAAAATGTACGTTTCTGTGTTCATATACAGCAACTGCATATGCCTGCTTCATGTAGACTTGGTGTACATTACTGGCATATATTTTTTAAAAATACCTTTGCAAAGGTGGAAATGGACTTTAAATCTTTGTAGTATTAGGTATAAGCGTGTAGAACAGGGGTAGCCAACATGCCTGTGGCTGTCAAAGTTTTGCAATGCTTTATGGGACTTCCCATGAGTAGACATGGGTTTATTTTATAGTTCCACAACAGCTGGAGTGCCAAAGTTGCCTACCCCTATGAATAAGCTACCTCTATGAAGAAGCCTACGGGTGAAACATGTGAGAGGTTGTAGCTGGTTGGGGGTGTGCAGTGCTGGTATTTGTTGCTTTATACACTTTTATTCACTGTTATACTGGATTTGCTGTGAATTTCAATAAAGTCTGAAGTATTGGAATTCTCTGGATAGTGCGGTCTGTTTGTATACTACTATATTAAAACTCTTATTTCCATTACTACTACAGTCAACCAATGCCTGAATTTCCAGCATTAAACTACTAATAGATTGTTCCTAGAACACTGCCAATCACAGTGCCAACATCTTCCTTCTTGTCATCATCGGTTTGGCCAGCTCGATGCTGATTGGCCGAAAAACCCGCTTCCCAGCCAATCAGATTCGAGTCGGCCGAACAGCCGGCTCGATGGTGATTGGCTGGGAAGCCGGCTCCATGCTGTTTGACCAGCTCGATGCTGATTGGCTGGGAAGCTGGCTTCCCAGCCAATCAGGAAGGCGGCTGATAACTTGCCGCCTGGTCATAACCCGCCACTCATCTTCCTGATTTCCCAGGAAGAAGGCTCCATGTTCCCCTAAGGTACTGAGGAAAATCTTCCTCTGACTGGAAGTTCTAGTATCGGGGAAGGTATCGGAGCATTTGGGCGAGTACGAGTACTTGCCCAAATACGCGGTATTGGCACCGATAACGATACTAGTATCGATGCATCTCTAATTTGTACTACTGAATCATAATTTTGGAAATGAACACATTCTTGAAATCAGGCTGGAGTATACCCTACATTTAGCATTACATGTTAGTTCTTTCATGGTGCCGATGCCCAACTTCTCATGTATGCAGGTAAACATGTTCCTTGCGGCAATTATAATAATTAGATTCCTAACTTCAACAAAATGGTAATGGATAGATTGGGGAAGAGTCAAAACAGGACACAACCGGACACAGACACAACAGAAAGTAAATGTAAATATTCCCAGGATGGAGATGAATTCCACATCTGATAACTGTTACAAGAACAGGGGGTCCCCACTGGAAGATTTATCCCCTATTCCTGTTCCGATAAGAACTATAACAGTATGGATTTTCTATCAATTTCTCTCCTAGTTACAATAGATTTGTGCAGCACTGAAAGTTCCTCTGCTGCTGCTTACCTCTTTTTAGGGTATACTTTATGGTGTATTGGTCTTCACCATCATTTTCACGTAATGCATACTGCATCCAGCAGTTCTCTGAATCCTTCTCCCTGCAGAATGTCTCTTCTGTTAGCTGGTCCACTTTTTCAGCTGTTACACTAGGACAAGCATGTGTACAGTTCCTGGAGCTCTGTTCCCCTTGCTTTATATAGCATTCAACACAAGGCCTGTTATGAAAATAAAAAAGGCAAATACTAATTTTAAATAATACCTGAAATATCTTGAACTTCAGGCAAACAGGAAATTCACAGAATTCAAACCTATATTAGAGCTATTTTACTTGCAAAGGGCTTGTATTACTCTGCATTCATTCCTGAGATTTCTACAGCCTTGTCAGACTGCAAACCCAGCCTAGAGACATGACGTTTCTCTACTGCAATAGGTAATACCATTAGGTCTTGTCCCTGTTCCCAGCCTGTGACTGGAGAGTGAAGAGGAAGCAGCAGGCTCTCTGTCATTTACTACTGTTGGTATGTTCTTTGTTAGCATGGACAATGAAGCACAACTGACTGGCTCCTTGTGAAGCCCCTTGCTGCCACCAGTTTGAGTTCTGCTGTACAGGGGAATGGAAAAGACTGATGTCAAGTTTAATTTAGGGGCTTGCACTAATTGCTTTAAAAAAAACACTTAATGATTTCTTAATAAAACACATACAGTACCTGCATAAATCAATGTTTTTTGTATCAGACTGGAATTCAACTTTAATAGCTAGGAGAACCCCATCTGATCCACCCATTAAAGAAAAACCCTTTGAAGGACTCCAGTCAGGATCCATTAATGTGTATTTGATGTTTATTGTAGGTTTTTGGTGACAGTGAGCTGCACCAGTGCCAGCGTGATGAATGTTCCATAAGGTTGGGGAGGACTGAGTGGAAGGGCATTATGAATAATGGTTACTATGAAGCCACAGAAACTAGACATTGTCTGAGACAGACTTCACTTTCTATCACAGACCAAAACCCTTTTAATTGTATTATAATCCGAAGATAAGACATTTAAATATCTACACTTTTTACATATTTCTAATTGTTTTCCTGCAGTTTTAGTATATGTAAATCCAATCACTAAAATTTCATATAATCTTTACCATGGTTGGGTGAAATTATTACAGTTGTCATCTACCCCCTAGCTGTGATATATGGAAAATCAAATAATGCCAGTGACAGGTATGGTTAACTATGCCTTGGCCTGTCACAGCTGTAATTGGTTAAAGGGAGCTGTCCCCAATGGGGTAACCCAATACTTTACAAACTTGGAATATCAAGACCTGCCCTACTTCATCAACCATGGAGCAATCTGCTTTAAGCTAAAGTGGTTTAGTAAAGTTCCTGCCAACTAGCTGCATCTACTACTTCCAGATAAATGATCTCTCTGAAGCTGTAAAATGTGAAAGTTGATTGCTCACAAAAAAATGTTACAATTTATTTTCAGAACAGACACTATTATAGGCCCCTTTCACAGGGCCAGTCTGATTGGGTTTTCTTTCCCACTTTATCAGGTGGGCCCGATCAAATAACCAATGCTAATCTATGGGCAGACTGGTCTAAATGTACGGGCGTCCGTTTACACCCGGTTACACCTGACTCCGGGAAAACAAACAGAAGAGTGTTCTATTTCGATGGACCTGATCATGCCGGATTGGGGGTAATCTGATGTAAACGGACACATGTCCGTTAACTTCGAATATCCCATAGACCAACATGGGGTCCGGTCATTTCAGTTTTTGGATACAGATGACATCTGATCTGTATCGCTCCGATTCATGCACAGATCCCCTCCTGATTAGCCTGTGTGAAAGGGGTCTAATTCGTACAGAATCAAATGAGAAAGTTATATAGTGTTGTGAAGGGGGAATTCTCCACAATTGTCAAATTGATTAGCAATCACTCAGGCAGGATAGCTTCAAGAAGTAGGTTTATTTTAGCTTTCCAGCTGGGAACATGTAGGACACATTCAAATAATATGGGTTTGTAGGCCCCTTTTTTCAAGAGTTTTGAACAAAATAACCATCTGGGTTAACTTGAATTATCTCCAAAATTCAGATGATAATGACACCTGTACTCGTATTTGATTGTGCCACGATCATTAGATGGGTCCTCTTGTCTTGATAAGGCCCCCTCATATCAAGGTAACCGGGCAGCTGGCTTGGCAATGAAACTATTGCTCATTAAACCAAGTTCCTTCATGTCAAGATTAGAGGACAGCTGTGAATTAAGCCAAGGTCAGGAAAGTTGTGTATAACTTTCTGTCATTGAACTCTTGTTACCTTGTCCTATAAGGCCTACATCTTCTACATGAACTCTAATTACCTTGGCACACAATACAAAAAGTTTCACATGTTGTTTATTCATGCAGCTA